AATATCTATTCATGACAGTAAATTCTAAAACAGACACAGCCTATCCAGGGCAGTTCATCTAATTGTATTGCTTCTCAGATACTAATTTAAAAATTAAGTTGCTGTGATAACTAAATCCAATCACACATTTGTGATCATCTTAAAGTACATGATATAATGTTAATTCGGCAAAAATATCTTTGTAATGTCAGGTTTTAGCAATTTATTGTTGGATTTTAGTTCGTGTTCCCAATACTTTATTTAAATAGAGTTTTGGGAACCATGAAACATGACTGTCAACAATTACCACATTTTAATTGATAGCACCCATTTACCATAGTGTTAATACTTGGAAGCCATTTGTTGAAAAAATGTTCACTAATTCAGATGCTTTGATATTTTAAAAAATCTTTTCCCTCCATATAAACCTATTTCTGAATTAAGAAGTTTTTACTGGCCCTGGCTGGTGTAACTCAGTGGATTGAGCGCAGGCCTTCGAACCAGAGAATCGAGGTTCCATTCCTGGTCTGGACACATGCCTGGGTTGCAGGCCAGTTCCCAGCAGGGGACGCACAAGAGGCAACCATACATTGATATTTCTCTCCCCCTCTCCTTCCCTTCCCCTCTACAGACAAATAAATGAAATTTTTAAAAAACTAAGTTTTACTAATATTAATGCTTCTATGCCTAATCTCATTTACAATTGGAGAACTCTCACTTAAGTCTTAAATACTTTCTTGAAATCAAAGGATTTAAGAATGGATTAGTGTCTATCTAAGCCATATAACTGACTTTTAGATTTTTAAAAAATTATCTGGTTATGTCCATGCATCAACAGCATCAAATGGCTCACTTTTAAAGTTCTCCCACAAAATAACTTTAATTTGATAATCAACAAATCCATCTTTAGAGAACTCAAAACTAAATAAATATACATTATTTGACATTTCCACATTGAAATGAACTCCCTTCAACATAGTCTTTTAAAAAATCTTTTAGCCTGGCTGGTGTGTCTCAGTAGATTGAGCTCTGGACTTCAAACCAAACGGTCCCTGGTTCGATTCACAGTCAGGGCACATGCCTGGGTTGCAGGCCAAGTCCCCAGTCAGAAGTATATGAGAGAGGCAACCACACACTGATATTTTTTTCTCCCTCTCCTTCTCCCTTCCTTCCCCTCTCTAAAAATAAATAAATAAAATCTTTGTAAAAAATCTCTTATTTGGTCCCCAATAATTGCAAAACCTATTCTTTTTGTGCCAAACTCAAAGTCTATTCACCACTGAGCATAAAGCAATATAACGTGGAATCCTCTGTCTATATAATTAGCATTGAAGAACAAATGTTTCTAACAAGCATATCATTAAAAAGCATTTGCACATTAGCAACTAGTACGGTTTTCACTTAACACCTCTATAAACAAGTTTTATGGAGTCAAACACAGATAAATAAACAACCCAATTACATTCTAGATCTCCTCTCAAGGATGTCTAATAGAGTAAAGAAATATTCTTCTAACTAATGTTGCTTTTGCCTAAGGGGTTGCTGCAAATCCTCTGTGAAATGAGAAGGCAAGGTAGACACACATAAATAAATACGAATATAATTATTGTTGTAGCAGCTTCTTATTTACTGAAGTGAGGTCAAAGAAAGAAGTGAAAAGCATTTATCAGAGGTGTTGGCGAGTCTCCATAAGGCAGAGGCAAGAAGCCCTGCAGGTTTGAGAATGTAGATACAGAGCCCAGACACCTCCAGCTGAATCCCAGCATTTTTAGGTTAAATTAGCCTTTAGTGGGCTGCTCAAACTCGCTGAATCCCAACGGCCTCTTCTGCAAAATGGAGCTCATAAGAGTACCTTCTTCTCTAGGATTCTAGAAGAATTATATAAGATTACCCAAGCAAAAGCACCTAGGATAGGACTGATGGCTAACAGAGCAAACACTAAAAAAATGTCAACCGTCATTATCGTCATCATCATCTCACTGTACTGTAAAAAAAAAACAATTAAATGTAAAGGTACTTGAATAACTTCGATTCTTCCATACACAGATGAGACCTTGGGCAGACCCCAAGCCTGAAAGTCAGCCCCTATATCCAGATCATGAGTCTTGGCCTCTATTCTTTAGACATTACGCTGCCCCTCACTGCAAGCATACATCTCATCAGAAGAACCAAAAGAACAATCTGGTTACTCACACTATCACATTAATATGTAAATTCATCACTGCAGCAAGAAAATCACAAACAAGTAGCTCATTCATGACTCATTTTATTCATGACAGTCGCAAACTTGTCACCCCAAAATTGGATCTGATAGCTACAGCTAAATGAAGTAAACACATTCACATCCAAATTCACTCAGTGGTGTCCAAAAAAAATCAATATAAACAAACTCTATCTGAGAGGAGAAGATACGGTTAGCCCGCTAAACATGAATTGTCAAATATTGAGGAGAAAATGCATCCTTATATTGAAGAGAATGAGCATAGACAACGAGCAAGCATTATTAATTTACACAAGCAGTGATCCCTTGTTTATGACTATATTCATTAACTGCACATAGGTCAGTCTTAAGAACATGGGGAAAAGGAAGTTTTATCCTAAAAAAAAACCTTCATATTTATTGCAAAACTTCTGGATAATAAAAAGATAAAAGGTTACAATGAAATAAGGTAGGTTTTTCTGCCTAAGATGAATCTCTTATAAAAGGAGAGAACTCCTCTAAGGTTGATTTATAATTAGAAATTAGATTCCTCAATAATTTAATGACCGAAACCTTTATTAAAATCAAATGACCTTTTTAATTAAATCCTCTCCTAATATATAGGCTTTGCTAGGTAGGTGTCATCTCCACAGATAATAAGTCCTTTATATATTTATTAAATGAGTTTTTCCTTCTTTGTTCATCCTTTTCTTTGATTTGCCATTCTGACAGTGATTAATTATTGGTAAAACTTTAAAAAGTATAACATTACTAATGTATCTGGTAAATGCTCTGATTTGTAGAATATTTCTAATGCCCCTATTTTTCATTCTACCATGAAAAATGTTCAAACTAAAATATTTTATTCTTCAGAATCTCCTTTGTTTAAATTCTCATTTCAAAAGTATACAGCTTAAGAGGAGAAATCTGCACAATTTTATTATGTCCTTAAGAAGTGCACTAGGATATGAAAACCTAAAGCAGAGAATTAAGATACATGCATAAAACTGACATTAGCTTCAAAAGCTCTTGCCACCAACAATGTATTTAGAATACAGGCTCATCCAATTAATGACATGAACGAAGCATAAAAATATATAAGTGAATTTGAATTACAATTTTAATCTTTAAGTATTTGTTTAAAAACCAAAAATAGTTAAATGATTATTAAGGCACCATGTTAAATGCTCTGGAGTTTGAAAACCCAAAAATACATTGTCATCATGTTTCCTATGGGTACTGCTTTAAATTTAGTGAATTTCATTAGCAGTAAATCGAAGACAGTAAAAACCTTCAAGTATGTGACTGTTGTGTGTATATGTGTGAAATGTATATTCCTTCAACACTTCATGTCTATGATGACATAGGCAAAATGCTTTACCGTTGCTTTTCTCATCACTTAAATAAACAATCAACCCAAGGCAAAGTGATTAAATGACTTACTCAAAAATGCCAGCCAATCCTCAGCAATTTTAGGTGTTTTATTAGGTTTCTTGGCTTTATAGTTCATGTGGGGGAGGGGCGACGGAACAGAGTTCCATCTGAGAGATGAGATAGAGTATCATCTGAGAGAACAGCAAATGCACTTTATGGATACTAACATTCCCAAAGAAGGTGTGGGAGTAGCCAAATCATCCCCAAACACTAGCAAAAAAAAAAAAAAAAAAAAAAAAAAAAGGAACAGGTCAGGATCCTTCTGAATCCCAAATCACTAACCAGCCAAATAAAGAGTAAAGCACCTCTGGATCGCCCCCCCCCCCGCCCCACCCTCCAGCCCACTTCGAAGCTGTTTCCTTCGTACCTGGAAACAGATTTCAGCTTCCCTGATGCTTCCAAACGGGCTTGTCTCAGCAAACGTCTGCACTCGTCAGACAAGGCCCCTTAAGGTAACTTAATCCCTCCTGAACTGCTCGGTGGAAGAAATGCTGATTCCCCATTCAAAAATAAATTATTTAGCTTTTTCTGTGTTAACGAGTCACGAAGAAACCCCTAGCTACAATTTAGATGTAGCCAGTTATCTTGAAGACTCGCGGGCCAAATCAGAGCTCAGGGAATGGAAGATGTGGCCAGGGGAGGGGGCGCAGAGAGAGGGCAAGAAAGATGATGGTCAGTTCGGAGATGACGCGGGATGACATGGCACCTGGACGGCCCAGGTCCCGTTCGCCCGCGGGCTCCGAGTCTGTGCCTTGGTTTCTCTGGCATGCGCCTGAAGCTGCGAAGAGGTGCGCACGCGAACACACCACCTTTTATTCTGGACTCCCCGGGAGGAGAGTGGTGGGGAAGCATCGCTGGATAAAGCCTCACCACAACAAACGAGGTCTTTCTCCTCGCACCCCGCCCCCCCTGCTAGGGGCAGGCGACGACTGTCTCGAACGACAGACACAGCTGAGAGGAGCGGAGCATCTCCGCGGTGGGCAGGGGAATAAACCCTACAGCCCAACGAGCCCCTCGGGAAGGCCAACGGGAAAAGGAGGGATGTGGAGCCGGGTACACAGAGGACAAGGGACTGAGACGTGCCCTCGCGCTGCGCATCTGGCTGTCTGGGACTGGCGTTCGTGGCTGGGGAAGTCGATCCCGGGGCGGACCCCTCCCCGACTCCCGGCCGGAGGCCGCGGAGGAAATGGCTTTGTATCGCAGGATGAAAGGCAGACCGGAGGGCCACCCCGCGGGGGGGACAGAGGATGCCCGCAGCGGAGGACCCCGCCCGCGCCCCAGTCCCCCGCCGCTCTGCCCGCCCCCCCACCCAGTCGGCAGCAGTCCCAGGTCCCTGTCGGGCTCCAAGGGCCAGAGCAGGTCGCCACCCCCCCGCGTCCGCGCTCACCTGCCCACGAAGTTCTCGAGCACTGAGCTCTTGCCGGCGCTCTGGCCGCCCACCACCGCGATTTGCGGCAGCTCCAGCAGGCAGCTCTGCCCCAGAGCCGAGAAGGCATCCTGCAGGCGGTTCACCAGGGGGATCAGCTCCTCCATCTCCCGGTTCCCCATCCTGCCCGCGCCGCCCGCAGGCCGCCCGGGGGTTCAGCCAGCCCAGTCCAGCGCTGCCGTGGGATCCGCCGCCCGCTGGCCCCAGCTGGGCTCCTGACAGCTACCAGCCCACAGCGCGCCTGCGCGGGAGGGCGGGGCGGGGCCTGGCTCTGACCCCGCCCCGCGGCTGCCCCACCGACCCAGACTCCCAGACAGCCGCCCTGCGCCCAGTGGGCACGCACTGCCTCCCAGCTGCGGCCAGATGCCACCGCCTCCGTCTCCTGCTGCCAAGGCTCAGAGGCAAAGTTTCAGGCCTGGGTCGGAAGCCAGGTGACACTGCTCCCTTTCAACAGCTACACTGGGAGTCCAAGGGAGCGCTCTGCCTCTCTAGTAACTCAGCACTGTTAGCAGCAGTGGCGGCGGCCACCAGTGCCCGGTCCCCAAAGTACAAGTCCCAAAAGGAAATCACGTTCTCACGCCCCGCTCCAGAACCGGGCTCTTCCAGTCTGTTGGGTCTAAATTCTGCGATCTGGCATCCAGTTCAGGCCCGGCGTAGTCTAACTCTAACTAATTATTCGATTTTCATGACTCCGTCCTCCTCACCCGCCTAAACTAGGCGGGGAGACTCCTCCACACCCGGTGGAGTCCGTGGTGTTTGCCCCCTCACCACTCTCCCTCTCCAATCTACCAAACTCATTCTGTCCTTCGACAGTGCTCACGCCATTTCTCCTCCATACCTACCCCCTCCATAGGGCTTGTCAACAACCATGACTTTGTGCTCTCAACCCGTTCGGTTAAATGTAGCAAATTCATGGCTGAATGGCTGGCCCGCCTCTCCCTCCTGTGCCTCACACTGGCCTCCACTGGGCCCCTACTCACCCTGAACACCCCTCAAGTCCCTCTGCCTTGACTTATTCAAAACTTAACTCATCCTTTTCAGCTGAAAGCCTCAGCTTTTAATGCTATAAATTCCCCTCCATTCCTAAAAAGACTTGTATAAAAAAATCCGTAATAACCAAAAAACTTAAGAATCCCAATGTCCATCAAAAAGCGAATGAATAAACAAGCATGAGGTGTCTACGTACAGTGAAACAATCTCAGCGACAAGGAGGCGTGACCTTCTGACGCAGCAATGACACGGTCGTATCTCAGATGCATGGTGCTGGTTGAAAGAAGCCAAACCCCATACATATTGACTCCATATACAAAGCTCCAGAACAGACAAAACTATTCTGTGGTGATAGCGATCAGAGCAGCAGTGGCCTTTGAGGGGTGCAGACTGACTGCAAGAGGCAGGGGACACATTTGTGGAGGCGATGGAAATGTTCTATACAGTGATTTGGGTGTGAGGATACATTTGTGAGAATTCATCGAACTCAGTGCGTACGATCTGTGCATTCCATTGTAAATTAGACCTCAACTTTTTAAAGTAAGTGAGAAAAACAAATTAAACTGAACATCTCCTCATCTCTACTGAAGCGGACCCACATTGGCAAGCCTGCCCAGCCTGCCTCTTCTGAGAATCCTTCCTCCATCCACCACGTGGCTGTAGCCAGAGCATAATGAAGACAGCAGGGCAGGAAGGGCGACTAATTGTGCCCTGGCCACAGCCTCATACATCAAGGGACTCCTGCCCCAAGTTGCAGCAATTAGAGCCCTTCCCAAGGACTATAAAGCTGAGAGGAAGTAGAAGAGGGAGAGAGAGAGGAGAGAGATTTGTCTTTGTCTGAGTGACTGAACTATGATAGACGTAAAATCTGGGTTATAAAGTCTTGAAACTATGGTTAGTAATGTTCTCGCTGACAAGGAGGAGATGCAAAAGACGCTGGTCTTCGAGGAAAGAGAAAACGGAAGGACAGAGAGGAGCAGAGGGGAAGCAGACAGCAATCCTGATGGAACTTGGGTCCTCCTTCTAGTTCATTTCTGATGCTCAGCTACAATACTGCCAAAGATCCACGAGCTGGCCTCCCTTCAAAAATTTACAGCAATCCCCCTCTTGGCCTCACCTAATTCAATTTGTGTTTTTGCTTGCAGCCAAAGAATCCCAATAAATATACCCTCCAGTGTGCTCCCTACCTCAGCAAGAGGCCCAATCTAGAATCTGGATGTCAATCTAACTCCTTTTCTCTCTCTGCTTCATCTCTGACGGCAAGTCAGTTCCCAAATCACGCCCATCCCGCCTCCTTGGCACTCACCTTCTCCTCTTCATCCGTGCTGCCAGGGCCTTGTTTGGAACTACCATTTGCTGCACCCCCTCCCCTACCTGTATACATAGATACCCAGAGCAGATCCTCATTACTGCACTTGACACATGGCATTGTCTCCAATCTACATGTCTCCCTTCTCCACGACTTGGTAGAATAATGCTCCCCCCAACAGAGGCCCACATTCCAGTCCCCAGAACCTGTGAAAGCGTTACCTGGCATGGCAGATGGGGCGCTACAGGTGTGACTGAATCAGGGGCCTCGGAATGGGGAGCTTATGCTGGATTATCCGCATGGACTCCGTTTCACCACATGCTCCTAATAAGAGCCTTTCTGGCCATGTCAGAGGGAGACGTGACTGAGAAGTGTCACAGAGGTACAACTTTGCTGGCTTTGCAGATGGAGAAAGAGAGGCCACAAGCCGAGGGATGCAGGCAGCCTCTAGAAGCTGGAAAAGACAAAGAAACAGATTCTCCCCTAGAGCCTCCAGGAGGACCACAGTCTGCCAACACTGAGATTTTAGCCCCAGTGAGATCTCTGCTGGACTTCTAATCTACGGAACTGTAAGGTCATAAATTTGTGCTATTTTAAACCACTAAGCTGTGGTAATTGGTCACAGCAACCATAAAAAACTGGCACAGCTAATGACAAGCTCCTTGAGGACAAGATCGATCTTCAGGATTCTCAGTGCTTAAGCACAGTGCTTGGCACTGAAAACTATAGTCTGCTGCAAACAGACATAGACACATTACGACAGAGCATGTAGTAAGTATTCCAAGGGGACTATGGACTGAACGGTGTCTCCTCACACTTCATTGGTTGAAGCCCCAACCCTCAGTGTGGCTGTAGTTGGAGCAAATAAGTAATTAAGGTCAAATGGGGTCATAAGGGTGGAGCCCTAGTCCAATAGGATTAGCGTCCTACAAGTGAAGACACCAGGGCCCTATCTTTCTTTCTCTTTTTCTTTTTCTTTTTTCCCTTCCTTCCTCCCTCCCTCCCTCCCTTCCTCCCTTTCTTCCTTACTTTCTTTCAACACAGTAGAAAGGCAGCCATCTCCAAGAGAGGAAGAGAGTCCTCACAGGGGAACTGAATCAACCAGCACCTGGACCTTGGACATCCCAACCTCCAGAATTTTGAGAAAATAAATTTCCCTTGTCTTAAGCCACCCAGTGCATGGTATTTTGTTACGAGAGCCTGAGCACACTGAGCCCCAGGGTTTGTGTCAAAGAACAGGAGATGGACATCAGGGAGTCACAGTTCCTTCTGGAGAGGGTCATGGAAGGTGTCTGAGGAGAGGTGACTCAGGAGGTGGGCTCTGGTGAGTACCCCCAGCACTCCACTAAATGCTGCGGGAAACATGAGAGCTGCAGAAGCTCCGGCCCTGGCGTTCTAACGTGGGAGACGATGCGGCCATGCGTTCGACTGAGAGCGTGTAATCATTACATAAAACAGAAATTCACGAGCACTCAAGCAATGCATGTCATCTCTATGCTCCAGAACGCAGTTCAAGTCGATCCCACCCACCTACTCCAAGGAGCCATCCTGAACTTAGTTCTCCAGCGAACTGCTTTCCCTCTTTCCTTCCCATTGCCACAATTAGTCCTGCAACAACAGGAAACCGAGAGAAACCAGACACACACAGACCGGCTCAATGCCCTTTTCTCGAAAGTTATTCCAGGCAAAACAAAGAGCGAGAGGAAACTTTCTGCAAGGGGAAAAGCAGACAGAAGTTCTGGCAGGAGGACAACCTGCTCCTCTGAGGGTGGGCTAAAGCTGGGAGGGGAGCCTGGTCGGGCACCCCCGCTCCCCAACTGCATCACAGATCACCTGGGTGCTGTTTCGGTGCCAAGTGATGAATGCCACCTCCTGCTCTCTGGCGGCCGCATTTTTTCCACAGCCTCTTCTGGGTGTGGGTCTCTATCGAAGAAGTTAGAACTGTTTCTGAACATATCAGTGCTCTTATATCTAAATGAATATTTTCCTTTGGGGTCATTTTGAGAAGTAACTGACTGACTGCAACAATACTGCATGTCACACAGTGTCACGGAGCTCCTCCTTCGAAAATGAGGGACCTCACCCCCCAAAATAAAACTCTGTGTTCTACGGTCACATGTCATTTCCAGGAACAGAATGTCATTCCTGCTGCACTCCTGCCTCATTCACAGGACTCACTCAACTAACTTTTAGCTAATTCTAAAAATTAAATCTATGTAATATAGACTTTATACACATACACATGGTATATGCACATATTTTTAAAGCTCCAAGTGAGGGGTTACAAAATTTTGGAGAGGTGAAAGCATCCCTGGAAAAAGATTTAATCTATCAAAGAAGGGCACAAACTGGAATCTACTCCTTCAGGAATTCGTGTTCTTTAGAAATCGGTCCCCTCACTGCAGAGTCTCATTTCAGATGCTTCCCGCAGAGACCAGCTAGGTGCTCAGCAAATATTTGCGAAGCAGAACTGAACCGAGACATCATTTGCCATGTCGTCTGCTGTGAGAGTCACTGCGCTGATGACATAATCGCTCTGTGTCCACTGCAGGGCCAGTTCGAGTCCCTCGGCTCTGCTCCCGATGGTTATCTCATGAGTGGGTTTTAGGTCTGACTGCAGGTCAGCCTGCCCTCGGGCACCTTTCGAGTCCTGTTAATGCAGCGAGCATCCAACAGAGACATACAGACGGTCGATACTGTAGCCTTTATAGCTGACACATCGCTCAGGGAGGCTTCTCTCCACCAGCCCGAAGGGATGGTGAGAAAGTACAGACTCCCAGTGTTACTGCCCATATTTTTCATCAGCTGTCATCAGGAAGCAAAATAACTCAGGAAGAACCACTTCCGACTCCTACCCCTGTCGCTTCTGTCAATTTGGGACCCGACAGATGGAGACTCACCAGTAGCCTCACGGAAGCCTGGCTAAA